AAACCAAACGAACTACATGATCTTCGCGTAAGGTGAGCGTCTGATGATGCTGGAACAGACTCACCGGTCCCCCAAAAAGCACCGAAGACCTGATTCTCGAACTCCTCCTCCCTAGAACGAGGACCACTCTCGATATCCCCCGTAGAGACACAGACGGGACGACTCTTGAAGACCTTCTCCCCGCCGAACTGGGCTAGGTCCTGCGTTTGAGAGGACCTAGTTCGAAGCTGTCAAGAAACACGGTCACACCCCCCTGCGCAAAGAGCGACGATCCCCTGAATGTAAAATAAACATGGACGAGGAAGTCAAGAAGTCTCGATAGAGGAACCCTCCATGTGACCAAAACTAACACAAAGATTGTCGCTACTACCGGTCCCCATCTCACTCTCCAAAAAGAAGCGACGGAGACGACCCACGCGGTCCGCTGTCCCAGGCTATCATGGAGGCCCCTATTCTTAAAGGGATGGAGAAGCCTCCACTTCTGAAGAATACAACGACATTGCTGACCTTGTCGACCACATCGACGACTTCGAAGCCATGCTTCACTATCACAACGTTGAGGCCCCCATTAAATGCAAGTTATTCCCCACGACACTGAGGAAAACGATAATGGACTGGTATAAGAGCCTACCCCCTGGGTCAATCACCTCGTGGTGGAATTTGAAGAACCAATTCATCAGCAACTTCACTGCATCTCGTCGACACCCGAAGACTGAGGCCGCCCTCGAGGCAATAATCTAGAGGAGCAATAAGACCCTCAGAGAATACATTGATCGGTTCAACCACGAGGCCATTCAGGTCTCCTGCGCCAATCACATGAAGAGATACTTGCTCGAGAGGGGACTCCTCCCGGGCACTGAATTTAGAAAGGCCACTGGCATTGAGCCCCCAGGTCTTTTGACGCACTCCTCGAAAAAGCCCGGGCATACATGGACTACGAGGAAAAGAGGCTGTCAACAACGCGTATGATTTAAGGAACCGCAGACTAACTAACGTTCAACGAAACAGTGACACGGGCTCTTCTCGATGAACAAGGGAAAAGAGAAGGGAGAAGAAACCTCGCGACCCCCGTGAGCACAAAGGACCAGCCGGGAGGTTCACCGAATACACCTCACTGACCGCTTCCTACGAGCGTATCCTTACAGAGTGCTCCAATGCTGAGTTCAAGGATGGCAGGGTCAAGTGTCCTCGATCCACCCCTACAAAACCCGGGGCCGACAAAATAAAATACTATCAATACCATCGAAGCCACAATCACATGACCGAAGACCGCGTCCACCTGAAGGATGCCATCGAGACTTTCATCAAGGAAGGGAGACTCGGGCAGTACAAGCGAAACGACGCCCCTCGTTGGGATACCTGCGAGGTTAAAGAAATTGAAGAGGATACCCGACCATCCAATGAATCTGGTCCCTTCCAGGTAGCCTTATACGTCTCAAGGCCCGGAGACTTTCATATCCCCAACAGTCTTAAAGATGACGAGCCTTTGTTCACCCATAACAGATGGGAGAAGTTCCCCTCTGCCATGGTTATATCTGGCGGGGGATTCACTAATATCTCGGTGAATTCAGCAAAGAGGAAACTCAACGAGCTGGTGGATGCAGCCCAGATCCAGGCTGTAACCCTTGAAAGATTCAAGGGAAAATCTGAGCCGATCACCTTCTATCTCGAGAAGCTGCTCGACGGAGCCCCAAACTCCATCATTCCTCTGCTAGTGAGAGCAAAGATGACTAACTTTGATGTACATTGCATCCTGGTCGACAGAGGGAGTTTCGTCGACTTCATGTACACCCACATGTTCCGAACCTTGCATCTCGACAATACTCATTTGTTACCATACGCAGGGTCCGACCTGCAAGGATTTAACAGTTCGACCTCCAAGCCATGGGGCTACGTCGAGCTGTTCGTCACATTTGGGGAAGAAACTGCATCGCGACAGGTCAAAGTGCGGTTTCTGGTGATCGATTTCCCATCTCTCTATAACTGCATCCTGGGGAGACCAACATTGGTCGAACTGACCGACGTACTCTCCATGGTGCATTTAAAGATAAAGTTCTACACCAAGAAGGCCCGCGTCGCCACCATCCATGGAGACATCTCAGCTGCAAGTGAAGGCATACAAGATCCAATCCAACCATGCTGCAAGTGAAGGCCAACAAGAATGAGGCCGCCCTTGACTATGTCGGAAAATGACTCCACCCTTGCACCGAGGACATGCCCCTTGGGCCTTCCTCACCATAGGGCTATCGAGGAGTATTACCGGCTCTCAGGAGGTCTTGACGGGCACCCTCCTCGTAGGGCATACGCCCATGTCTCCGAATATCCGAGTCATTTTGACCTCAAAAATATACGCCACCACGTCTTCTTAGTAATCCAGAGCAGTCCACTCAGGAGGGAGATCTTGTGCTGGTCTCCACTACTCACGTAGGTCCTGACAGTCTTCATTTTGGGCCTGTTTTGTCAACTCAATATGGAGACCTTGACCCAGTGCTAAGGCTATAAATACTCTCTCACTTGAGAGAGTCAGATATTCATTCATTCTACCTCACCTATTTTACTTGCTTTCACTCTGAACCTCATTTTGACATCAGAGTGTCTTGCAGGTATCCCTCACATTTAACCGCTGCTCAACTTGAAACTCGTAGGTCTTGACAATCTCTTCTAATCAGATACGATCACTTATTATATAATATTACTTAGAGATTATAAAAGTTATACTATTCTATATGAAAATATGAAAACACCTTAAAAATATTATTTATTTTAACAGTGGTTCATATTTTGAAAGTGTCGTAAAAATTTTAATTTTAAAATATTTAATATATCACTTTAAAGAATATATAAAGTCAAATTAATAATTTTTTATTATTTAGGGTATGTTTGAATTTGTTTATTTGATATTATATAATAACATATGTTGTTTGTGTGACTGTTTAAAAAAAATAGTTTGTATCATGCACAGATAAAGTATGGAGTCATTAGTTTGTATCATTAGTGACATTATAGTGGGGGCATCACTATCTTTTAAGTGAAGTCAAATATTAAGATATCCTTTTACTGGTTAAATTTAATTAAAGATGTGGGGTTAGTTGCTCCCATTTTATAACATATAGATCAGTTTCTGCGTGCGAGATAGCTTCAACTATATTGTGTAAAGTGTTTAGATGTTTGGGGTGGTCGGGGTCTGTGCCACAATTACATATAAGAGTGTTTTTGAATTTAATTAGAATATATTGACGGTGTAAAGAAATTTTACACAGTCAGTTAACACAACCGTTAATTTGTTGAAAATATTTAACTTTTATTTTAATTTTTTTAAAGTGTTATAATTGAATAGTTGTGATGCACTAATAATGTAAAAAGTTTTACGCAGATAATACATAACAATTAAACTAATATATTTTGTAATTGTTTTTTAAAAACATGGGCAAAATTATAGTTTGTTTTTAAAATCTATTTTACACATATATTTTAGAAAAAGGTGTAAAATCATAATTTGGTTTCAAAACTTATGATTTTGCATTGTTTTTTCTTCTTCATAAATTCGATATAAGTTCATATTCTTTTGGGCCTGTTTTTTAAATTAGAACAGACCGCCATGATTGATTAGATTGATCCCGCTCTTTGCTAGTTCCTTCAACTGTTTGTAGTGTCTTCTTGAAAGGAGTATTACTCTGACAGAGAGAGCGCTTTCTACGCGGAGATTCACTCAGTGAAATGGCCTTTTCGTGGAGAATACACGCGTCTCTTGTGATCTCCCATTCATGTGTCTTCTTTAGTGTATCTATCAAGTCTTTTTGTCTGGATTAAATCTTCTATTATGTTCTTCAGATGGATGCACTCATCATTTTCATGCTCATACTTTTATGAAACCTCTAATTCTAATATTATGTTTTATCGGTTGGTATTGACACTTTCACGACGCGAGAGATATTTTACCCTAGCTTCCTTGAATTCAGTGTTGGTACATCTATGCAAGATTTTCTTCCTAGACACATTCAACGAATTGTATTATGAGAATCAAGACATAGGTCACTTGTTCCTCTCCTTACCATCGTCTTCACGATGTTTGTTGTCTCCTTGTTTCTCATTTTCAGATGCCTTATTTCTCTCAGCATATTCAGTTAGAATCTTTTCTTTATAATTGATGTAAGATTGTGCTCGAGCAAGAAGATCACTCTTACTCTCTGACTCTTTCAATCCCAACTTTTCTCTAAACACGAAGTATGATCTTAATCCCTTCTTGAAAATGCAACACTTTAGTTTGTCATTAGCTCCTCTAACTTCTACAACTTCTTTGGTGAGTCCCCTAATGTATTTGCGAAACATTTCTTTTTTTCTCCGGTGAATATTGTTGAGTATGACTACCACGCTAGGCGTCTACGGGTTAAGAACTAGTAAGTATTCTCCACCACCAATGAAAAGACAAAGGCTTAAAAATTTAGTGAACTTGAGATATACCAATGAAATTTCTAGTATTGACATGGCATCGGAAATAAATGATTTGGATCTAGTGAGATAATGGTTATCAAAATCATGTAGATAACTTCATCAAAGGTTATATTGAAAACCGTCCCATTTATGGTCCAAACTACCTTAAAGGACCATGCAAATTCAAAACCTACTTCTCCATTAGTCTACAAGCACATAAAAAGTTTGTTTATTTTTCTTAGAAAAACCAAACTCCATTAATAGTATATGTTCTCTCTTTTATGAAAGTATTGACATTGGTGCATTACATGCAAGATTTATTTCCTACAAAAGTCAGAAAATACTTAAAGGCCATTAAGTTTTCTAATGCGCAACTAAGTGCAGAAACTTTAACACAGTTATGTGTTCTTGACTGAATTCAAACATATATGGATATACAATAACTCTTTTGAAGAATTCGAACATATCATAACATCTCATTATAATAACTCAAAATATTCATGAAATAAATCAAACTAAAAAAAAAAAAAAAATTGAAATGCAAAGTTTACCATTACTTATCTATTTATCTATGTTGGAATTGCAAAACTTGTTTGTTCCACATATTCATCAAAGCAACCAGAAAAATTCACCATAATAAAACCCATGAAACTTATACCAATAAAAACTCCACTAACCAACACACAACAATTCTTCCCACACCCACTTTTCACTTTTTCCAATTCCTTCTTTTCCTCCATAACTTCCTTTTCTTTATCAAAATCTTCAAAAAATTCCTCAGCATCATGATAGTAAAAAGTTCCAATCTTTTCACCAATTTCTTCCACCCCATTTCGTCTAAATCCCACAACACCCTTCTCACCAACAAAATCAGGAAAAAGCTTATCCGGGTCATCGATAACAATCAAGTTACTCTCATCAAGTTCTTCATCTTTCAAACAAGACTCACTACAAGAACAACTAGAGTTCGAATTCGAAATGGAATCTTTGTCGAACTCAGGATTCGTAAATGTTGTGAAACTGCTGTCCCTTTCATTGAAAGATTTCTTCAACGATTCCAACTTTTCTGTAATGTGATGCAAATGTTGTGATGGATGACATTTAGCTTCGGCAGATACAAGGTTTCCTACGAATGTTAACTTCTGTTCAATGTCTTCATGCGAATATTTTTCGGGACCACTTAGTATTCCATCGTCCAACATTGATTCTAGATCTTTGATTTTCGTCTGCAAAATTGAGTTTTCATTCATTTTTTTTTGAGTGACACAAAGGTTTCGGTTACTTTGTTTGTTTTGATGAAACGGTTCTAAAGTTGTGTTTTTATAATTGGTAACTGTTTAACAATTTCATTAACTCAACCGTTTTTTTCTTTCAACAATCTTTGTCTACTGCTCTTAGGCGTGGGAGTGGTTATTCTCTTGTGGAAAATGATAAAAAAAAACTGTTCCATTTTGTACCATATTTATTATTATGTATGTATCCGCAAATAATCTTCCAACTATTATAATGAAAATCCTAAATATAAAGTTTGCAAATTTTTTCTCAACTTACAAACATAATCAATATTGCTAAGCTGTACATTAATATTAGATTTCAAATAAAAAATCTTACAATTGTGTGGAGTTTTATTGTTATTATCATTTTGTCTACGTATAACATATATATAAATGTACAAGAAAGACTATCAACTATGAAATTTTCAAAATAAAATAATTCAGTTCTGTATTATACGATTACTACTTGCACAATAGATAATCGATTTAGAAATATATTTTTTGATGGTACAAAAACTAGTCAAATATGACATTATATGTCTCGTAGTATCGAATATAAAGATCAGTCATGATAATTTCTCAAAAGAGGAGAAACTCAAATAATTATTCAAAGAGAATTCGTTAATGATGGTTTGACTGCTCACAATAATTTCTCAAACAAAGAAAAATTTAAATATATATTCTCCAAAGAGAATCTAAAAAAAATTGGTAATTTCTCAAACGAGTAGAAATAATTTTCAAACGAATATAAGTTGGAATATTCCTCAAATATTTCTCTAAAGAAAATTCTAGAAAATACTCGAAAAAGTCAACGACTAGAAAGAAAGGAGAGAAGTTGACGATTCGACAATTCAAAATGCAGATTAAAGAGAATAAGGAAGAAAAAACTCAAGATATTTTAGGTCTGTTTTGAAATGAAACATGTGTTTCCTTCTATAATGAACTAACCTAGACAAGGTAGCTAATCTAAGCAATGTGTCACTTAAAGTTTTCTCAATCAACATACAAACACACATAATTTTATAACAATGTGGGACTTAAGGATTTTTTAAATCAAATTCATCATATTGGAATATTGACATATTACAACAAACCCCACTTGAATTTGAAAAAAAATGTTTGAGAAGCAACACCCTAATGGACCGTTTAGAACTTTGGCCGAATGGTTCGACCTGTTCTGATACTAACTATGTAACACCCTAATTTTCCTGACGCACATTATTAAAATAAAATCATGCAATAACAAAATATTTCAATAATAGAGTGTTACACCTCTCTCAAGAACCATGTTTCTCAAAAACTTTATAACAACACAACAGAAAATCAAAACATATTATCTCAACTGAAACATCTAATACGTCATTAATAGAAAATAACTTAATCTCAACGTAAGAAAATAAGTCTATAATTCTCATAAAACATTTAATAAAATGAAACCCGTCCCAATGTTACACTATCAGAGAGACACTACAGAAAACTAAAACTCAAAATAATATGCATAGAGAAGTAGGCATCAACTCCCATTCTTCAAACAAGCATCATCTAATCTCCTCAACCTGGGTATCTGCATTATCATCACAACAAGAAACACAAAAAAAAGGGTGAGAAAATACGTTCACCATGTTAATGTTATATGTTAACAGTCAGGATAGTTTAACGACAACATTCAAAATATCATAAAATAATTCAAAATATTAGATAATCATTAATGCAAATATAATGCAATGTATTTCTCCTCTAACTGCAAGTAGTACTAAGGTTTGAATGTCAGAGTTATGTTATTGAGTTATCCAAGACTTCAGTTCCTCTATGAACCAGAGAACGTCATTAGTTCATCTCTGAACCATGACCTTACTAGACTGAAGTCTTATCCATCTCAAATATACATGAATGCATGAATTAATCAAATAACATTCAACATATAACATTGAGTCAGCTCAGAGGCAAACATACCAAGGTAACTCCAATTTTCTTACCATAAATATTCACTGGACAATTCAAACATACCAACATAGTAATCACATAACCATTAGTTGGAGTATTAATGACCTTAATACCAACCATAGAAGATACCTCAAGATTCAACTTGTCAACACAATCAAGAGATATGAACGAATGTGTCGCACCTGTATCAATGTTAACAATCAAGGAGACACCATTAATAAAACACGTACCTCAAATCAAATTATTTGATCTCGATACATCTTCTCCACTGAGAGAAAACACTTCTCCATTGACTTGTGCGACATCTGATGCTTTCTTGGGCTTCTAATACTACATACTGATATGACATGGTTCTCTATTGTTGAAACAAGTCACCAATGCACTCGTGCATTCAGCAGAACGATGTCCCAGTTTCCCAAATTTGAAACACTTTATGGAAGTACATTATGAAGCACGATGACCCAACTATCCTTATTTGAAACACTTAAGAGAAGTATGGGCACCTCCCCCACTTTTTCCTTTCCCACCCATGGTCTTATGTTAGAACTGTTATTTTCCCTTATCACCTAGGTCAAAAACGACTTACCATGATTCTGACTCCCACTCTTCTTCTCACCAGCACACTTGAAGTGAGCAGATCTGGCTCTGCTATCTTCATCACAGATCCTTCATTTTTTCACCAACACTGAGAAATGACGAATTTCTTGATAACCATTAAACTGCTTGATCTCAAGACGTAAACCACTCTCAAAGTTCACACACTTAGAAGCTTCATCTTCAGCACCATTATAGTGAGGACAAAATCTGACATCCTCTTCAAACTTAGTAGCATAATCAACCATAATCATACTACCTTGCTTCAGTTGCAAGAACTTAATCTTCTTCTTATTACGAACATCAACTAGAAAGTACTTCTCAGTCTTGAAATTCTCCTAAGTAACAATAGTACCAGTAACTTCGAACCTTTATGGGTATTTTTCCACCAATACTAAACCTCTTCATATCACATATGTGCCCTGAACAACATCTTTTGCTCATCAGTACAAACCATGACGTTGGAAATCTTCTCAATTTCCTAAAGCCAAGTCTGAGCACCTTCAGGATCATACCTCCCTTTGAGTGTAGGAGAATTCTTCCTCTGAAACATTCCTAGCCCACGAAACTCATCAGGTCCACCATTCTTATTATTATTTTGATTCGCTTGCAAATTCGCATTCGCTAGAGCCATCACCTAAGCCATTGTGTAACACCCCAATTCTACCCCGACAATTATATAAATAAATCAGAGTTATAAGATCATTCATGCAAACGAATCGGGATGTCACGAATTCATCATTAAAAACTCATTGCATTCATCGTGAATACATAACACTTTAAAACATCGGATGAACCATCAACATAAATACTTTAATTAAATAATTCAACAATTTAACATCTACGCAGCATAATTCTTAATAACATCTTTATCATCGCTACAACAACTTCAAAACAACACGATTTAATAATAAACAAATTAAAATTCAACAACTGAATAATCAACAATCAAAAGCAACAAGCGTTCATCCCCCGAGTGTTACATATCAGAGCAATGACACCGACTCGAACTACTGAAGGTATACAACATTCACTCTCGATTACCTGCACGTTACCAACGTAAGGGTAAGATTCAAACAGAAGGGGTGAGATATCTAACAATATAATAAAGCGCATGATAATTAATATATTAAATTAGATCACATACATCACCACTTCTCATCTCATAATCAACAATAATACACATTCACAACATCAATACACACTTCTTTATGCAATCATATAATGCCACTCAATACTATGCAAATGCATGTGTTACCATTAGAGTAGAACTCCCATCTCAAAAGTTTCCAATTAATAGAGGCATCAACAAGGCATAAGCCTTCATCTCAATATTTGCCAATACAGACCATCTCAATGAGCATAAGCTCCATCTAAAAATGCAATGTATGCTACACAATCATGAATGTAATAACAACACCATAATTGACAACATCTCAATACAACACCATCGTCGGCCAAAGGCCTACATCTCAAAAGCATCTCAACATCTCTTCATCGACATCATTCATCATAAAACATCAAAAATCATATATATCTCATAATTCATCAAACAAAATCTCATTAACATCATCTCATCAACAATTCAGCCGTACAGTAATACAACAGTACTCATCAATTTCACAACGTTGGCCGTAGGCCTATACAAGATATTTCCTATAAATAGTTAATCAACTAAGGCTTAATTCTAAATCACCAAATCTTTACATACTACTATTCTGTAATATTACATCGTTATTATCATTAATCCTACTGTTACAAATCAAACAACAACCTATAAACATCTCATCTTCATCATTCTGCATAAAAACCAACACGGCGATCTACACGGTAACCAATTCAAATCTTATGGTTATCCTTCCTATTCCTCATTTTAATCCTTAAGAATAAAGCTAATCGCGTTAGCTATTCAACGCTTCGAAAGACATCTCATACGACATCCAAAAACTCAAGTTACAACCTTTTCTAAACGATTCTACCAAAAACTAGACAACATGGATCGATGCATAACTCATTGGGTCGACGCGTACTGCACTGAACTCGCAACATGAGTTGACGCATCCTCTCTTGTATCGACTCATACTGAGTCTAACACACATCATGTATCAACACATGCCTCTACGTATCGACTCATCCTGAGTCTAAAAGTCCTCATGTATCGATGCAAGACTCCTTTGTGTCGACTCATCCTGAGTCTCTAAACCTTCTTGTATCGACACATCATGTTTGGGGTCGACGCATACTGCTCTGTCATGGGTAATTTCTGCGACTTTCTATGCGTTTTCACTACGGGTTCCATACCTTAAGCCCTAAAACTTAATCTAATCATAGATAATCATCACTTACAATTATCCTATAATTCTATATAAATTAAACAGCATCGGAACATC